GAAGGAGATAATGAGAGCTGCTATGCTTGTAGCTATTGTGGCTGCCCTTGGCAATTTGATACAAGGATGGGACAGCGCCACAATGGCTGGTTAGAACCCCTTTTCAATTTTCCCCAAACAAATTCTTGTGTGAAAATCGACTTAACCGTTAGACGAGTTGAGTCATCATACATTTTTTCTTTTAACAAAAACGAATACATATGTCATTAAAGATCATATCTTTATATATTTATGTTGTTTTCAGCCTTACTGTTTTCTCCTCTCTTGAGTTAGTTACTTATATAATATAATCATTTTAATTTTGCGAAAAAAACCAGTTGGCATCGTTCACATAAAGCGGGAATTCAACTGGGAAAATGAGCCGGGCATGGTGGGCCTAACTGTGGCCATGTCCCTATTCGGCGGCACAATAATCACATTCTGCTCTGGTGGGCTTTCTGACTGGTTGGGCCGCAGGCCCATGTTGATTATATCCTCTGCACTGTACTTCATCAGCAGCCTCTTCATGCTGTGGGCCCCGAGCATCCGATTGCTCCTCTTTGCAAGGCTGCTCGATGGTTTTGGGATTGGATTATCCGTCACAATTGCCCCTTTGTACATTTCTGAAATGTCTCCGCCGGAGATTAGGGGCCTTTTGAGCACTTACCCTCAGTTAATGTACACTAGCGGCATGTTTTGTTCGTATGCCTTGGTTTTCTGTGTGTCTTTGGTTGGGTTGTCTAGCTGGAGGCTCGCGCTCGGTTTTCTTGCTTGGCCTTCGCTCGTTTATTTTGTTCTTACGGTGTTTTCTTTGCCCGAGTCGCCTAGGTGGCTTCTGAGCAAAGGGCGTATGCTCGAGGCTAAGCGGGTTTTGCAGAGGCTCCGTGGGAAGGAAGATGTTTCCGGTGAGATTTTTTCTCGGTGCTCGTTTTCTGTTTGTGCAAAAATTGATAGAATATTACTCTTTTGCATTTGTACTTAAAGGTAGCTGCAATTCTGTTCTTCGTTTACTCGATTGACAATTGCTGTTCCGCAAGCGCACACACACATTCACTCAAAAATCACACCATATTAGTCGGAAGGTAAAAAAATGTCGGTGTTCGTTTTGGTTCGTTTTTTGTTCATGCAGTGATTGATAGAGTCAAGACTGCCAAGTGTTTGTTGGCATCTGGTTTTGCTGGAATTACTGTTTTGCATTTGCACTTGAAAAGCCAGTCAAATTATTTTCTTTGTTACTTGATTGGACAATTGCTGCTCCACAAGCACACACATTCACTCAAAAACCGCACCAAAATTAGTCGAAACTCGAAAGGTAAAAAAAAAATGTCTAATATAAATGTCGAACAAAGGGAAAAAAACTAATGTCCATCGTTTGAACAAGCTAAATGATTTCTATCTTCTTTCGTGTTTGTGCTAACTAACATTAGTCACTTAATTCGAAACGAAACTTATCTAAAAATTGAACTACAGGTGAGATGGCTTTTCTAGTCGAAGGCCTCGAGGTCGGTGAAGATATTTCCATCGAGGAATACATAATTGCACCATCAAACGAGCTTCTCGAAGAGGAAAAATCGACCTTTAACGACAAGGAAGAATTAATCCGACCAGAAGGACTCTCATCAGTTATAGCCCTTCGCATCCCCACACAAAGCTTCATCACCAGCAGCATTCTCTCCCGCCATCAAGACCCCGTCGTCACACTCTTCGACAGCGTGCACGAGAAGCTTCCGGAAGCTTCCGGAAGCAAGGGGAGTTATATCTTCCCACATCTCGCCAGCATGTTCAGCAACCATCCCAAGAACAACAACGACGAGTCGGACGAGGATTACGAGTCCAACAGCGGGCCCGTTAGTGATACCGACGAGTCTCTCCAAAGCCCGCTTATCTCACGCCAAGGGACGAGCTGTGGGAACTTGACGAGCCCACACCACTCGAATTTCGGAAGCTATAATAAGATGAAGCATGAGAGTCACTTGCTTGGGGATGGGTCGGAGAAGAACGGCGGTTGGCAGCTGGCGTGGAAGTGGAAGGAAGGGAAAGGGAGTTTCAAGAGAGTTTATCTGTATGAAAGTGACTCCATGCGGGCTTCGGGCCTGGTGAGCCAGTCTGCTCTGTGTTCGGGCCGGTTAATGGATCAGCCCAATGTGGGACCAGCGGTGGTTCATCCATCTGTGGTTGCTGAGAAAGGGCCCAAGTGGAAGGATCTGTTTGAGCCTGGTGTTAAGCACGCGTTAGTAGTAGGGATGGGGATTCAAATGCTCCAGCAGGTATATAAGTTTTGTCGGCTGTGTTTGGTTAGCTTATAAGTTTTCTATATTCAAATAAGTTTGGTTTGGTAGGACGAGATTTTTCAAAAAAACTTGAGTTTATCTCATAAGTTTGCTTAGGAAGCATTTCAAATAAGCCAATTGATTTTTTGTTTTATATATATATTTCAGTTAGCTCATCAGCTAATTTTAGTAAACACTTTTATCATAAAAGTCAGTTTTTCAGTCATAAGTCATAAATTATCAGCTATAAGCTTGAAATTCACTTAAAATCTATAATTTAGGTTTTATTAGCTAGGTTTATCAAACATAGCCGTCCTGTTTTTTATTGATTTGACCTTCTCTGGTGCTGCTTATTGCCGTTTCCAGGTTTTGCGATTTTTTCATACATTCTTTTGATTCACATTTTAGTTTCTTGATATTGTTTCTACGTGTTTAATTAAGCCTTTTTAAAATGGAATGCATTTAAAGTGTTGTTCAGGTGAAGAATATTTTAGTTTGTATTATAAGCATCTTATAAACAGTAAATTTAAACTATATCTCAGTGTTCAAGCTTTTAATAGGTTGGTTTCAACCTATTAATTATATATACTAACTTTTTCGTTCGATGCCAGTTCTTGGGCATAAACGCTATTTCTTATTACACTCCTCAAATTCTCGAGCAAGCTGGCGTTCAAGTGCTTTTTTCGGACATAGGGATTAGCCCCGACAAGGCATCTTTGCTTATTAGTGCCGTCATGATCTTGCTAACGCTATTATGCGTTATTATTGCCATGAGACTTATGGATGTATCTGGCAGAAGGTATATCGATTTTCGATTTTCAATTTTCATCGTAAATAACATTTACAAATTCGCATCCTTTTTTTTTACCCTGCAGGAGTTTACTGCTGAACACAAACCCGATACTTACAGCAAGCCTCGTAACTTTGGTCGTGATGCAGCTCGTGCACGTGAGGACAGCTGTCAAAGCAGCCGTGTCGACAGCTAGCGTTGTTCTGTACAGTTGTTTCTTCTCCATGGGATTTGGTCCGATTCCCAACATTTTGTGTTCGGAAATTTTCCCGACGAAAGTTCGAGGAGTTTGCATTGCCATATGCGCACTTACGTATTGGACATGCAATATTATGGTTACTTACTCGTTGCCCATGATGTTGTCTTCGATCGGGATATCGGGCGCTTTCAGCATATACGCGTTTGCTAGCTTGGTGTCGTGGGTTTTTGTCTACTGGAAGGTTCCGGAAACTAAGGGCATGCCGCTTGAGGTGATAACCGAGTTCTTCGCCATGGGAGCGAAAAAGTCGGGGGCCGACACAAAGAGCAACAAAGTTGGGTTTCATGGAGTTTGAGGTTGTTGGAGTATTTATAAGTAGTTTGCTTGTAGCTTTTGATTCTTTGTGTAAAAACATTTGGACTTTGGAAAGAAATAGTTTAGGGAGTGTTTGTAAGGAGTGTTGTGTTTGAATCAGTTATGTATATGTATTCCTTTGTATTGATTGTGTCAATTCAAAATTTTACTCAACAGTTGCAGCTCAAATTTGTGACAAATTAGTTAGCTCTCAGGTAAGGAAAAGATAACAAGATTTTAGGAGATGGTGACATGAAAGAGGTTGATAGGGTCAAAAGCTATGTCCATCTCTCCCTAATTTGAAGAACTGATAATTAATTAATGAGATTGTGTGAAAAAAGTATCACATTGGTTGAATACATACAAGATAATAAAATTGTAATGAAGTTAATCAAATCCTTTACTTAGTAATAGTAGGCACACTTTTGAAGCTTGAAATTTCAAAAAACAAACTCGAATTCCAAGTCTTTGGCAAGAATGAACTTGCTATGAGGTTCACATTATTGACTCTAGTTTTTTTATTTATTCTGTCCTTGGTGAATAGTTGAAGACTATCAACAGATTTTCTACATATGTATTATTCGCACTGTATTTTATAGACTGAAATTCAATAAACAAAAAAGATGTGTCCTCTAGATATCTTTTATTTTTGGTTGAGTTTATCATTTTTTTCTCTTGGAATGATAGACTTATATTAATGGATATTAAAATTACATATTAGAAAACAACTACAACTAACTAAAAAAAAAATTGAATTTATGATGTGTACTTAGGAGTAGTGTAAAGCTGACAACACAAAAACAACTACGAAACTGAAAAAAACTATCAAACTCTATACCATACGGAGACTTGAACACTCCAATAATTGAGTGTTGGTTTGAACTTGTAAAAATAGATGTATTGAACTGAATACTATAATATCAGGCTCCGTTTGTTTTGAGGGATTTGAAGTTCCTTGATTTCAAAATTTTTGAAATATAATTTTTTTTTTGTTGCACACTCTTTGAATGAATGTGTTGAAAGTATTATAAATAAATTGTCTAACTCGCACCGATGGTGTTAACTCGCGGTGGTGATGAACCTAAATGATCGCGGACGGCGTGGTCCAACGGTGATAAACAATGGATTTCAAATGACTAGGTTTGAGGAGTCATTTCAAATTTTTCAAAATAATGACTAAAAAACATCTAACATGAATTTGAAATCCTCCAACTTCTATTATCATCCCAACATGCATGAGTATTTGAACTTGTAAATTTGGAATCTATGGATTTCAAATCCCTCAAAACAAACGGAGCCTCAAAATTTTCCTTTGTGAAGGAAAAAAAAAATTCAAAGAGAGGTAGTAGTAATAAGAACCTACACAACAAAAATGAGCCCTAAGCAAACATTTGGATTTTAATGGGCCCTTTATGCTATTTCCGAAACAAAAGGGACATTTTGCAAAATCCGTTACAATAAAGGGGCTTATGTTTAATAACCAAGCCAGTTAAAACCCACCAGATAAACTGTCACAGGGTCTAGATAGAGGCTATGTTATCCCTGTAACATAAACCCTTGTCGTCCCTCTCGCGCGCCCACACTCCGGCACCGCCATGGCTTCCGTTTTGACGAAGAAGATGAAGAAGGTGCAGAAGAGGAAGAGAGAGAATCACAGCTTGTCGGATCTAAAAAAGCTTGGGGAGGATCTGCTGACGTCACGAGCACACGTCAACAACCTCCCCATTCTGCTCACCTTCATCAGCCCCAGCTCGCCTCCGCAGCACGCTCTCGAGTCGCTCCTCTCGTTGCAGTCTTTCTTCACTCCTCTCGTCCCACAGCTCCCCTCGTCGTCTTCCCAGGCGTATTCGGACTCGGAGCCCGACCCGGAATTGATATACCGCACGTGGCTGCGGTCCAAGTTCGATGATTTTGTTGGGCGGCTCATTGATGTTGTTGGCTCCTCGCAATCGGATGATGCTCTTAGGGTATGTTAAACTGAAACTTTTTTTCTCCCTCTCAAAATTTTGTGTTTGGCAGTCATTGTTGGGTTTGCGTTCAATGTGCTTGAGCTTTTGCCTTAATGCAATTCATTTTTTTTTTCTTTTCTGCAGGAAGTTGTGCTGGACACGATAATGGAGTTTGTGAAGGTTGGGAATGCGGGGAAGTTTAATTCATCTATTTATCACAAGCTTCTCCGTGCTATTGTAAGTGCAGCCATTAAAATCGAAAAAAGAAAATGATAAAAAGAGATGTCTTTTTTCTTTAGTAGTGAGCTAACCATTTCCCTCTCTCTAACGCTTTGGCTCATGCTTGTAGGTTCACTCGGAATTGAGCGTTGATGACATATTATTAGATTTGCTTGCAACCAAGTATTTCAATTATGTTGATGTTCGGTATGTCTAAGTGTTTTTGATGGCATATTGTTTACCATGTATCGGTATTCCTAGAGCTTGATAAAAAATTAGTATGACATAAACTGTAACCATTAATTCTCATGAAATGAAGGTTCTTCAAAAGGTAGTTATAGTAAATGAACTTTCAAGAATACTAATTTACCTCTTTGCAATTTTGTTTTCTATTTGCTATTTGGCTTAAGCGACATACATTTAAAGAACATGTTGTTTCTGCCTTACACCTCTAACTTATTATGTTTAATTGCCATTGTTGGGCAGTTATTTCACATACATTAGTTTGGAAAAGCAGGCACGGACTTTGGAAGTTGAAGGTATCTCTACTGTTGTCCCTTATGCTAGTTATCAATGAATATATAGCTATTACCGCTTTGTTGTAATAGTGTTAGCGTTAGTTGCTCGAAGTTCTGGCTAAACCAAATAATATCTTTCTTTGTTCCTGCAGGAGACAGGAATGAAAACCCAGATGCTCAGATTACCCATTCAAGACCAAGGTTAATATTGTGGAATACAAAATGAAGTTGGTGAAACTACAATAACATCCTCTTAATTTGGAGATGGATGACTTGATTTTTTGAGTGAACCTAAAGCATGATCTAGACGTTTGCGTTAGGGCTTCTGCTTTGTTCATGCATCGAATAGCCGTATATATCTTCAGCGCATCAACACCCAGTGCACGATCTTTGTCATGGCCAGAATAACCTCAATATATGTGCAGTCTGTTTTGGCACTGTTGTATACTAATTGTAAAAGTAGTAGTTTGCTGGGGATGCAAGAATAACTTTTCACCATTCCATGTTTATAACAATGGCTGCAATTTCTTTTTTGATTCTATTCCTCCAATTTGCTATTTTCTGTTTTCTTCTGCCTTGAATGTTTTGTCGTTCACTACAGAGAAGAGGAACATATAATTCTTTTCATATTGTGTATGTAGCTTGGAGCTTTCCGTTCGGAAGATACATAATTTACTATCTCACATCCCGCCACTAGAAGTTTCAGAAGAAAATTTAGAAATGTTGAATGGTTCAGGTACTCTTTTCTGTCTTTCATCGTTTCCTTAAGTTCTTTGGTAGAATATATAATTATTTATAACCCTATTAAAATATTGATACAAATGCAAGCTATAGTTCTTTTCGAGCCATTTAGATTGTGTATTTTTAAAGCCAGGCATCACGTTGCAAATTTTTATCCGCATATTATCATTGCGATGCATTACGTTTTATGTTAAAGAAAGTTGGCTACCTGATTACCGACTTCATATGGACCCTAAAGTACATGCAAATTACTTCATTATTATGTTTATGTAATCTATTGATTGGTCATGTGAAACTATTTGGACAGCAAGGGTAGGAATACCTCAGTTACTTCATTGCAATTACTCTATATATTATTTTGTAATGGCTACAATGAACTTTGTATATATTTTTGTAGCAATATACGATTATACAGTATGATTATAATAATTTAACTTTTTTCATGGTGTGTGAATTGTGTATGTTCTAAAGAACTTTGTTATATAAGATCGAATTATATTCTCACTTGCTAATGGCACTGAATGTCGTTTTGCATTTAAAAAGACAGTGTTCTGTACATTTTTCGTTCTGTTAGCTGCATGTTTCCTGTTTATGTTGCCTGCTGTAAATTTATTGTTGACAAGTGTTTGGTTTTTTCTTTTTCATAATAGGCATTTTCGTCGAGAAAAGAAATAATAAAGAAAATGTCACCTTGAAAGAGAAGCAGGTCAAGTCTCAACAACCTAACGACAAGGTATGTTCTATGGACACACTCTGGTAATAAGCACATCCCATAAATAGAAATTTTGGTGGTGGTTTCCATTCAAGCATGACTTCTTTTGGTACTTCCGCAGGTGTTATCATCTCGGGATGTCTCAAAGAAAATGAAGCAGAAGTTAAGTAAAGCATGGATATCGTTCCTCAGATTGCCCCTTCCTCTTGATGTATACAAGGAGGTAATGCTATCACGTGTTGCCAGCATATGACTTTGCTAATCTGATATATTCTTCTTTTATTGTGTGTTTCATTTTCTCTATGCATGTTCTCATTGGGTTCAGGGGCGGATCTAGCCATATAAACGAGTGGGGGCCTAATATTTAAAAGATACTAGATATTGTACATTATAATTAAAAATTCAAAGAAAAAACATAAAATTTACAATTTATTACACAAGAATTTTCATAGCTTGAAATCGTTTCTTATAATGAAATAATTAAACAACTCTTTTTACTATTTTCACACACATTTCAAAACATTAAAAAAAATTACATGACTTTTTATACCGTGAAATCATTTTTTTATAATGAAATAATTAAACACCTCTTTTACTATTTTCACACACATTTAAAAAAATTTCAAAATTTTAAAATGGTAAACGTAATTATTTCAAGTTTCAATAGAAGTTCGCTTTTAAACATGATAAAGAAAAAACAGAAGTTCGCTTTTAAACATGATAAAGAAAACAAAATCATAATCAAATCAATGTTAAACGCGCCAACGGACCCGACATAAAATATACACAAGTCAAAACCAATTTTTTTTTATATGTTGACATTAATAACTTAATTAAAATATAATTACTTTTGTTAGTATTTCTTTTTTTAACATTAATTTCAACAACCCTTCTTAATAAGAATATGTCAATTTTAACCAAAAAAAAAAAAAGAAATTGTAGAGCCATAAAATCTTATCATTAGCAATAGCCATACACAAATCAATCGAAACTATGATATTATGGAACAATAACTAAATGCACGCAAACTAATCAAAGTGTGCAATATATATCCAATTAATCTAAAGATAAATATCATTGTTCAGCAGGCCCATTTACTTATCAGGTTTATATGACACCTAATGAAGTGCTCACTTTATTTTATTCAGTGTGGGCCGAGGCCCACACTGGTCATATACTGCATCCGCCCCTGATTGGGTTGCCATTCTAAACCATCAAAAAAAGGTTTTGAAGAATCAGCATTCATCTGAGACTTGATTGCTCCAGTTTCTAGATTGCATCTTTAGTAACAAGCTTTTTCACCTGATTAATTACCCGTTGAATTTATTGTGCAAAGAGGATTGCCATGGAAAAGAAGTTGTAGCTAATTGATTCCGGAAATTTTGTGGTAGATTGCCCACAAGACATATTGCATCAGTAATAATCATCAACAACAACATACCCAGTATATTCCCAACAGGTTGGGGTCTGGGGGGTCAGTTGTACGCAGACCTTACCCTTGTAATTATACAAGGAGGCTGTTTCCGTAGCGACCCAAGGTGCATTGCGCCGTTTGATATATTTTTTTTACTAGAAACTTCACTAATAGAAGAAGCACTGGAATTTAATTGAGCCATCAGTAATAATAAAACAAAAAAATTATTTCGCTGAGTATTTGCGCCTCTGCTGTTTTTATGAACTAGTCCTTTAGATCTTTAACCGTGAACAGTTTCCTGAGCTATGGCATATGAACTATGTCTATTTCTGAATAAGACTTGCCTTCAGCTTCTTATCTCATTTGTCCGCCATTTACTGTACAGGTTCTTGTTAAACTTCATCAGTATGTCATTCCATATCTCCACAATCCAATAATGCTGTGGTAAGTAATGCATAATTTTGTGCTTGCTTGTTTAAGATGTACTTATTCTTTCATGCTGAAAACAATTTTTATTTATCTTTGAACTCTATGCAGTGATTTCTTGACTCAGTCATATGATGTTGGTGGTGTGGTCAGTGTTATGGCTCTTAGCAGCCTATTTATTCTCATGACACAACATGGCCTTGAATATCCCAACTTCTATAATAAACTCTATGCGTTGTTGGAGCCGTCTATCTTCATGGCAAAACATAGAGCAAAATTTTTCGAGGTAAAGGCTGTCTACATGCATGATGGCTAGTTGACTTTTTGCATACAAATTGGTTTATACTGAACTTTCTAGCGTACTAATGTGACAACTCTAAAGATGCTACTACCACTGGTCCTTTCTGAATATGCTTATTCGCTGCTTGGATAATTATGTGTACCCTGTCCTTGAATAAGTGTAATCATGAAATAACACTTTGTTTCTAACTACTTTTATATACTATGTTATCATCAGCTGCTCGACTCATGCTTGAAATCATCGCTCCTTCCAGCTTATCTGACTGCTGCCTTCTGCAAAAAGTTGAGCAGACTTGCGCTCTCTGTACCTCCATCTGGAGCACTAGTCATAATTGCATTGGTTCACAACCTTTTACAGAGACATCCTTCAATTAATTGTTTGGTGCATCGAGTAAGAATTCTTTTATTCCTTCTTTTATTTAAAAATTATATTTTCGTCTGGTGATATGGATGGAGGTTTATGTTGGTCTGAAATGTCATCTGTCATGTTAAGCCTTTTATTTTCGCAGTTGAATGTAAATATACTTATCCAATTTCCACGAACTGGCAAACCCTTACACCCCATAAGATATCTTGCAACTTGTGGATTTTTTTTCGGACTTTTTATTTTAATTTAATTCGAGAGACAACTGACTGGCATAGCAGAAAAGAAACTTATAGACGATAAATGACAATTGACACGACTTGTTTTCTTGGTGTGGGGAAAGCTTTCAAGATACCTCTACGCACTCCAGAAGGAAAAGTATATAGTTTTAGTGACAATTGATGGATATGAGCTCCAATATGCTTGTTTTGAGTTACTTTTCATCGTAGGCAGTAATTTAGACGCTTTGCAGTTGAGATATTAAATATAATAATAACTAAGTTGCTGCATAATTTTGAGGACATCATTTGAATGCATATTGCATGGAAGCATCCAACACGTTTGTTCCTTTAGGTGCTGAAAAGTATATATATATATATATATATATATATATATATATATTGATGCATATGTTCGCTGTTTAGGAAGGTAATACGGATTCTACTGAAGAAACTTCCAGTGAAGGAAAAAGCAGTTTCCAAGATCTTGAAGATGGCAGCACTAATGGGGAGTTAATAAAGGAGAAGTCAGGAATTGACCACTTCAAAAATGAAGAAACCGATCCGAAAGATACTAATGCAATGAGTAAGTTTCATTTTCTATTTTCAGCATTCACCGTCCTTTTATCAACTTGTGTAATGTGCTATCCATGATGAAATGGTTGTAAATGAACGTAAAGTTTGCATAAGAAGAACATGTATAAGGTTGGCATTAGTGGAACTTAGGGGTGTACCTGAACATCTTCCATCTGCAATTTTAATTCATTCCTGAATTTGATCAGGGGTATTATTAAGGAATTGCTCTCCAGAAAAATGTCCGGGTTAATGAGGTTTCAACAGATATAATGTTATTATAAAGGACCATCAATTACTAGTGAGTGTATTTAGTTGTAACCAAATATTCAGCTTGTTTTGCCTGTACATCCATGCACCTCGGTTAAGGATAGGTGTTAATAGTCATGAGGAATAAAACATTAAGTCTATGTTTGGTAAACCTAACTCATAAGTTAGCTTATAGCTTTTAAGTAAATTTCGAGCTTGTAGATGACAGCTTATGACTTACGGCTGAAAAGTTAGCTTATATGATAAAAGTGTTCGGTAAAATTAGATAAGCTAGTTGAAATAATTTCAATGGGCTTATTTGAAAAGCTATCCACGAAAGTTTATGAGATAAGGTCAAACTTTTTTAAAAAAACCCGTCCTACCAAACCAAGCTTATTTGAATGCAGGAAGCTTATAAGCTAATCAAATAAGTTACAAGCTAGCTTATATGCTTACCAAAACACAGCCTAATTTTTCCCTGGAAGTCACTAGCAAAGCTGAGTTAACCTTTTTGGTAGATACTACTTCCACAGTTTTCTTTTGGTGTGTAAATTTTGATTGAACTTGTGTCTTTTTTATTGGAAACGACAGGGAGCTCACTCTGGGAGATTGACACGCTTCGCCATCATTACAGCCCTCCAGTTTCAAGGTGCGTCTACTAAACTACAATAGCCTTTTTGTACTTATCACTTGAATTCTTAACTATTTTTCCAACTGCAAATATTCTTCTATGAACAACAGATTCGTTTTGTCCATGGAGAATGATCTGGCATTCAGGACTAAAACAGCTGAAGTTTCAGTCAAAGATTTTAGTTTGGGTTCCTATTCGACAATTTTCAGTGATGAGGTAAGAAAACTAAAATCGCTTTATTGATGTTTCAATGTTTCGGGTAAATGCTGGTGTCTAAATGCCTAAATTGTAAATATGTACTCTAATTTTGCTCCTTGATCGACTTTACCTGATTTTTTCGTATTGTGATGAATCTTTTACTCCCTCTTTTATTGCAGAAAACTTAAATAGTTTTTATTGGTTTGCAGATTAGAAGAAGGGTCAAACAAGTACCATTGGCATTCTATAAAGCAACTCCAACACATTTGTTCTCTGAATCCGATTTTCCGGGCTGGACATTTAATGAAGATATGTCTGCAAAACGACAGCGGATAGCAATTTGAAGCCAATTTGTTTGTGCTACTTGGAAAAAATTTTGGTTCCATAGTTTTTCCTAATTTTGTATGATGCCAAATATATGTTCTTGGATGGAGGTCTATTTTCTTTTTTGGCTGATAGAGACTTCTTGAAATTGTGTTTGTACTTGTTCCTTTACGTACACGAGATGTGAGTTAGAATGATATATTCCATCATCGGAGATTTTTTTTTGTTCTTTCTTAGATATAACAGAGAAAATCCTTGTGGGCTGTTAAGGATCAAAATATCTATATGAAAAATACTTTTTTATTGTGGATAACGCACATATAAAAATAATTTATAAAACTAACGGATAAGTTAGTTGATAATTGATAAGTTAGTTTATAGCTTACTAATAATTTTTGAGTTTATAACTTATAGCTTATGATTTATAGCTGAAAAGTTAAGTGTTTGGTAAAATTAATTGATAAGTTAGCTGAAATAAAAATTTTAACGAGTTTATTTGAAAAGATACCCAAAGAAGTTTATTAAATAAGTTCGAGCTTCTTAAATAAGCTCGTCTTACCAAACGAAATTTTTTTAATACAAGAAGTTAATAATTTAATTAAATAAGGTATAATCAGCTTATTTATCTACTAAACATAGTCGTGTCAGTAATCTTTGGGGCAGCTAACACTGGAAAGGATAAAGTGAAAGAATTCTGGAGATGTTTGTTTATGGAATTTCTCAAAAAAAAATCTAACATTTTAACTCAGCCACTTTTTTTAACTCAACCTCACTGTCATCAAAATTATCAATATAATTAAATAATATCAATCAATCAATCATACAACCACATCAACCTTAATTCACTATTCATTCACTCACATTATTTTAATTAACCATCATTTCAAATCTCTCTCTCCTACTTTTACATCAAATCAATTTCAATTATTTTATTATAAATATTATTTTAATATACCCACTAACATCTAACCATACCACCTTTTTCAAAATTAACCAAACCAAATCAAAAACTCCAAACAAAACCAAAATTTTTTATAAACAAACATGCTCTTAGTATTGTGTTTGGCATGTCTAACATTAAGCCGATATAATATGGTAAGCATATTTTTATATATAAATACTTTCACACAAAAGAAAGTACTTGCAAATATAAGATAAGAAAATGTGTCATTTTATAAAATAGATATTTATTTTTGTTTAGGATTAGTTTATATCTAATCAAAGTACACGTATTAGATATTTCACTACAATTTACATAAAAAATTGGGAACAGCCACCGAAGTATCTGATCAAAGATTGGACCTTTATTATCATCAGAAGTTCTGATTGACACTCTCACATTCGAATTTTCCATCGTTCAATGTAATAAATTAATTAATACGCGGCGTGTAGACTCGCGCCGAAAAAAGGTGGACCACCTATGCCTACGCCGTGTTCCGATCATCCTCCTCGGCTGGCCTCCATTTTCGTATTTTCTCCATTTTTGGACGGCTAGCCAAGTCCAATTTCGCAACCCTTTTTTATAACCTAATCAAAATCCATTCTTGGTCCATCCCTTATAAAAATATTATCTTTCATTGGCTCTTCCTATCTCCAATACAATACCCCATCATCATTTATCATTCCTGCAGAACAAAAATCAACAGAACCTTAATTTTTCAGTTGTTGTTACAGATTTTCCAGCAGAAGCCCATCATCGATAAATATCCAGGCTGCGTATTTATATTTTTTTTTTGAGAGGCCCTTCTGTAAAATCAATCAGTCGCCATATTCGTAATCAATTTTTCCTAGATCGGAGAAAATGGTGTTCAAAGCCGGCTCGTCCACCAATTCCCTTCCGCGTGAGGACACCCCTCTGTTGTCCGGCGCCGGCAAGGCGCATGCCCTCTCGTCCCAGCCCAAGACCTTCGCCAACGTCTTCATCTCCATCGTCGGCGCCGGCGTCCTCGGCCTCCCCTACACTTTCATGCGCACCGGCTGGCTGACCAGCCTCGTCACCGTCTTCCTCGTCGCCGCCCTCACCTACCACTGCATGATGCTCCTCATCCACACCCGCCGCAAGCTCGAGGACTCCGCCGCCTGCGCCTTCCCAAAGATCTCATCTTTCGGAGATCTAGGGTTCGCCGTCTGTGGGCCAATCGGAAGGTCCGCCGTCGACGCCCTGATTGTCCTCTCCCAAGCCGGATTCTGCATCGGCTACCTCATCTTCATCGGCAACACGCTCACCAGCCTTTTCAGCTCCTCCTCCTCCGCCGCCAGCCCTAGAATTTTGGGGTTCTCTGCGAAGAGCATATACATCTGGAGCTGTTTCCCTTTCCAGTTGGGCTTGAATTCAATTCCTTCTCTCACACTCTTAGCTCCCCTGAGCATTTTTGCAGATATCGTTGACTTGGGCGCCATGGGAGTTGTTATGGTTGAGGATATCCTCATATTCACCCGGCAGTTACCATTAGTCGAAGCTTTCGGCTCCATTTCAACTTTTTTCTACGGATTAGGTGTAGCCGTCTACTCGTTCGAGGGAGTTGGAATGGCTTTACCCTTAGAGTCAGAGATGAAAGACAGATCAAAATTTGGAAAGATTCTAGCTTTAAGCATGATTTTCATAGCTGCAATGTATGGTGCTTTCGGGGCTATGGGTTACTTTGCGTTCGGAGAGAACACAAAGGACATCATCACGGCAAACATGGGAAAAGGGCTGTTGAGTACTTTAGTTCAGTTGGGCCTCTGTATAAATCTGTTCTTCACCTTCCCTTTGATGATGAACCCTGTTTTTGAGGTGTTTGAGAGGAGGTTTTGGGAGGGGAAGTATTGCCTGTGGTTGAGATGGATTCTTGTGTTGATCGTGAGCCTTTTCGCATTGTTCGTTCCGAATTTCGCTGATTTTTTGTCTTTGGTTGGTAGCAGCACTTGTTGTGTGCTGGGCTTTGTTTTGCCTGCAATGTTCCATTATCTGACATTCAAGGATGAGATGAGCTTCAGACGAGCTGGCGTTGATGTAGGTATAATTGTGTTGGGTATCTTTCTTGGTGTATCGGGAACTTGGTATTCCCTTCTAGAAATTTTTTCTGTGAAGGTATGATGATAAAAAATAGGTTCTTGAATTGATTTGATTGTCAGTGTTTTTTAAGTACTTGATGATCATAGTGTGTGCCACATGTTGAAATTTGTTAATTTCGTTTCGTTTGAAGACATTCACAGTGAAAAAAAAAATCCAAAATGTTATATTGTTACTTTGTAAATACGTTAGTGATTCAAGAATGTGTACATGTATGATAAATTGCAAGTTCTTTCTAGTGTACGTGTGTGTGATTTTGCTATTCTTGAAATATATGGTCCTTGATTAGATATCTTTAAATCTAGACAAGCTTTAACAAGCCTCTTAAGGAAAGGGCTATATGTTTACTCATTGAATTGGGGATCGAGTCGATATCACTAGCATTTATTTTTCTTTGTAAAAAGAAAATCGTTCATCCATATTGCTAGACTATATTTGGTGAGACTTTTTAGTTGTTTGCTCTTTTATAATGGGAAGGAACTCGGTTTATGCATTTTTGCTTATCTTATATGCATTTTGTAGCACTTGCAGCATTTAATTGTGGGACTGAAGATTAGCTTTAGTAGATAGAAATGGCACTTGCAAACCGGTTTTTCAAATTCTAATCTAATGTTTGGATTCATCTGCAGAATGTACCATTCTTGATAGGTGTGATTTTAGAATGCAAAGATTAAGATAACCTTTTTTTTTTTTTTTTTCCCTTCATTTTTATCCTATTCTGTGTCCTAAAAGAAACCAACATAAAAAGGATATATATATACAAGCACTCCTTGTAGATGACTTTATCTTTTAGATTGGTAATTTTCCAGATACTGAGTTTGAACTAACATTTTTGCTTTTATTGTTCTATTTGAAGATACGTAATATCTGTTTTTAACCTTAAAGCCTTTTTCCTTTCTTTGATTCTAAACGATAACATCTGCAGTGGCTATATGCATGGTGATTAGCAGATGAAAAAATATAGTTTTCGAAACATTCGATATATTCAGCACTTGTAAGTCGAATGTCGATATATCGTGCTTTTACTTCAGCTACTTTATGAAGCCCAGCCTAATCTTGCTGTCCGAACGTAATCATCAGCTCGTTTGCTGTCAAGGTTATTCTGTGATATACATTTTTGCTATTTTTGCTTGAGGCCATAAATGGATCTAAAATCCACTTGCGAAAAGGCTCGATTCGCATCCTATAGACACTCATTCAGTTTTGGACCACCATCACATATAACAAATTCACAGCTAACACATATGGTCCACTATAAGCTGACCATTTGATTTTGCTGATATATTTGCACAGCTGCTCTTTTTTTTTTTGGGTGATGGTGATTTATAAAGCATAAATATATGCTTATAGTTATGGTGGCCTGTGCATGAGTGTGTGTGTATGTGTGTGTGTGTTTTTTTTCTTTACATCATAAGACTGAGAACATAGCAGGGCCCAGAAAAGGTGAAAATCCCATCTCAAAAAGGGGTTTAGATATTTTGTCCACACATGCAACCAGTCTAGCACAATTTGGACATTAATTGCACAGCAACCCTTTTGGTCCCAATTTTTTATTTTTATTTTTTGTTTTATTTTTTGTGAGGTTTATAAATTTTGATATACTATCTTTGTACTGTAATCTATTAATAATAGTTTGAATCCTAATACACCTTTCTTTTGTGGAAATCCGGGCGTGATTGTATATAATTTGTACAGTAAATATCCCACTCAAAATTAACTCAACTTTACTATCTTCAATATTATCAATATAATTAAATAATATCAACTAATCATTATTACACATTACATCAACTTTAATTCACTATTCACTCACTCACATAATTTTAACTAATTATTACTTCCAATCATTTTCTCTTACTTTTACATCAAATCAACTTTAATTATTTTAATTTAAATATTATTTTAATATATCCACTAACAACTAACCATATTACTTTTTTCCAAACTTAACTATAGTTCAAAAAAAACTAATTTTTAACTAGTTGAATTTATATCCAATCACCCCCTTAATTTTAGGAAACTTTGTAAAATAACCAAAATATTTGTGGTATTGGATAATACACCTTCAATCTCACTATTTTGGCCAATCAAAAAATTATAGTATCAACTTATTATTCTTAATACCATTAATTTATTATTTCTCACTTTATATCACATCACTATATATTTAAAAAGTTATTAATTCCTTACTAAATTCAATTTTACTGATAAAAATTTATTCAGCAATGAAAATATATCCAATTGCATTTGTGTTT